TGAGTCACATTTTGAAATGGTGGGATCCTCACCTCTACTCACCAGGCTCCCCTGTCCTGATACCAGTCAAAGCGTTACCTTCAGTTTGAAGCAGACCTTTGCAAAAATCAGTTCTCCTGTGACACCTGTAAAAAATGCGCAGTAATGTAATCCTGAGTTATCCTTCTTTCAGCCCATTTTGTCGTCTTTGTGTCTTGACCGGTAGCTGCTTGAGCAGGAGACACATTCTCTTCTCTGATGTTTTGAACTGTGTCTTACTAAGCAGGTCTTACTGATCCTGCTAAATAAGGGTATACATTTTTATTTCCTGATTTTCCAACTGTCATTAAAATTTCCGTATGGGAGAATTTCAGAGTGTCTCAGTTTCAGCAGTTTCTGTGTAGCTTACACTGAGGAATAAGGTTTAGCATCACAATAAGAGTCAGATTGCAAAGTATTCCAGCTAAGAGCTTTGGGTGGTTCTGGAGCATTGATTACCTCGGTAATTCATTAGGTGTGCTATGAGCTGCGTCCTTAGTGAGGTCAAATCCCATATGGCATAGAAAATTATACAGGCCTCCACAGTGGGAGTTTCTGCACCAAGTTTTCGGTAGTACACTCTTCCACCCGTCGCTGCCAGCGTTGTGGTTTTGGTTGCGCACTCTGACTCTGCTCTGTTGTCTCTTTCAGGTGCTTTTAGGGTTTGACAGAGTTTGCGTGACACTTCGTCAACGACGTGAACGCCTGCGGTAAGGACAGTTTTCGGAAGCGGCATCCGTTGATGTGATTGAAGGTAACGCACCCTCTGCTGTCATTGCCCTGTCCTGGCCGTTTGTCCTGCGTGGAGCCTCGTGCTCTGGCTGGGCGTCCCCTTTGCTGCCCATCCCGGCTGGGGAGGAGAGAGCAGGATCAGGCCTCTGTTCGGGGTATGTCTGAGCATCCTCCCAGCTGATCCTTGCTTCAGGTAACAGCTCGTGGTTTTGCTCCGTTTCTGAGGAAATCTTTGCTTGTGTCCCACCACCTGCCTGTTTTCTGTAGCCACATGAGAGCTTCACGTTTTTGAATCCTGAAGCTGGTCTTCATTCAAACGCTGTCTTGCCACCAGGAATTTCACAGGACAGTTTATCCCTCTGTTCCAAAATGAAAATAAAAATGTGTGCATTGTTTCTGAGCTCCTTATGGTAGGTGGTTTAGCACTTCTCAACCTATCTATTGCTCTGTGCGTTACTGACCTTGTTAGCGCCGTCGCAAACAGCAGAAATTGGGCTGTGCGTTTGCTCCCTGCCCCTGGAAAGAGATCAGCAGAGCGTGGTCCTGCAACTGTAGCAGTTGCAGTTAAGATAATTTTCTCTAAATGCAGTTTTCTTACAGAAAAGCGAAGAAGCGATTTTGCTTTTTTTCTTCCTTAATTGGTATATTTGATCTTAATTAAACCTAGGAGAAGTAAATGCATCTCTCAATTCACTGCCACAAGAATTTTAAGGTTCAGAGTAGGTGACTCATCCACCAGAACAGAATTTATTCTTTGTTTGTAAATGCTATTTATTGCCTTGTTTTGCATCACTATGGCTACTGTATGTCATTGGTGATATCAGCACCTACCGTACATAAAATGAATGCAAGACTGAATTTAGAAGAGATACATTTCTTACAATAATTTACTTGTATCAGCCACTTTTCTGTTGTATGTTAGTACATCTCACATAAAAGCAGCAGTAAAAGTGGTTCAATATTTTTCCATCAAAACTGGCTGAAAAGTAAAAAATTTTCTTGCACTTTAACCATGTCATAGTTAAAAAACCCCTAGGCAGCCACCAAACCCCCTTTTCAGACTCTATGGCTTTATAAACAATTCAGGGATGTCCTGTAGGTGATTTTGAAGTTTCAGATGAACTGATTTACAGCAGCATTCTCAATTATTTTACTCCTGGTTATTTTTAGTTTTAAATACCTAGTTAAGCTTGTTAGAAGCATCACTGCTTTCAGAGCCGGTATAGATTCTTCTGCTTTCCTTTGCTGTTTCTGAGTGGAAACTGAGAACAATTAATCTATTCCAGTAAAGCCTAATTCTTTTGCCAATTGCATGGCCCCATGTTATTTTCTGAGACACATCAAGTACAATCACTTCTGCCACCCTATTCAATCAAAGCCTTAAATTGCACAGATTTTGTGAAATGGCCTGGGCTTCAACAGCTTGGGAGCTGATTCACTGAGGCATCTGCTGTAACACTGGTGGGACTGTCACCATTCTCATAGCCAGAATCATTTGTCTTTGTCATTTAGAAATAATCTTTGGGGTGTAATGTGGTCTTAGGGAAGCACGGAGCCCTTTATTGCTCAATAATAGAATTTCATGAAGTCTTAACAACATCTTTGAGCTCATACAAGACATTTGACAGTGCATGTGTGGATGTATATGTCTAATGTCCCATGGAACAAGGACAGAGAAGTTTTTAGACACTTGGTACCTATTGAAAGGCTGCTAAAATAAACCAGCCAGCCATGGGCAACTGCAGGAGCCTGGCGCTGGCTAGCAGGGACCAACAGCAGTGGGACATGTCTTCTCTGTGGTAGCCAAGCCCAAGACTTGGGCTCCCCCAAAGCCTCCAAGATGATTTCCAGCCAGACACACACTTTCTCATTTCCCTTACCCTGCAGTCCATGGCAGCTGGGGATGGGGCACTGAACCCTGAAAAGGATCTGAAAAGAAAGGTGTTCATCTTGGACGTGGCCAGGGCAATGCTCACGGCTGGATGTAGCTAACAGGCACTGTGAAAGCCCCCCAGACCAAATCTTCCCAAAGAGTTGGGGTGGGAGAGCAGGGTCCTGCTATGGCCTGGCGTGGTTGCCTGCAGAGGCAGCGCTGGAGGGGCAGCATGAGGGGTGCAAAAGGATCCCTCTGGGACCAAGGCAGAGAGCGGGACCGGCTGGGGGATGAAAGGCAAGAACTGCATGAGTGATAGAGGAGGCAACGGAGAGACTGCTGCTTTCCTTTTGGGCAGGGAAGGGTCCAAGGGCACAGCTCTGTCCTTTTAAGTGCTGTCTTGGGGTGTAGGAACAGCTGGCACAGCTGGGCCCGTGATCACCACTCAGGAAAGGGTCTCCCATTTCCAGATCACCAGTCCCTCAGTGCTGTCGTCTGTGAGTACCCGATGGTATGGTCCACTGGATGCTGCAGGAATAACAGCATGCGTCCAGAAAATAAATGTACTTTGCTGATTAGGTGGTTTGTGGTGTCCTGATCCTTCCTGCTGGGAGGCAAGGGCAGGGAGCTCAAAACTCTCTTCCTAGCAGGCAAATTCGGTCCATCTTCTACTGCACTGTGGCTCTGGGAGGATCCAGGCTATGTAAGCTGGGGGATGCCCAGAACCCAGGCTCGGTTCAGCCTCTTGCTGAGTTTCGGAGCCTGGTTCTGCTCTCCTGTTGTGTGTGTGTGTACCAGGAAGCGTGCTGTTTAATTTGGTGTTGGTTGGGTCCAAGGCTGGCGTTTAAGGGCTGTTCCCTGTGCTGATGGATGCCTATGGGGTCGGGTCCTGGCCCACAGCTGAGCCCAAGAGTCTCCTGGGTCTGCCGTGCTGTTTTTTGAATATGATGCAGTGGGAGTGAAAGTCTCTGCGATATCATGCTGCTCTGTGCTACAGCTAATTAAAGTCATTGTGAAGGGTTTTGTAGTAATTGCAGATATTGTAAAACTTTGTTTTGTGGGGTAATTGGTAATGTAAGCCTGAAACAAGTTATCCTTAAGATGTTTTAGTTTTTATTTCTCAGTAGGAGCTGCTTTTACAAAGAAGGCTTTTGTGTGTGAAGCAGGACCAGAATTAATGGCAGCATTTAGTCGTGCCTAAAGGGGTGCTTGCTGTGGCAGGTGGCAGAGCGGTGTAATTGATGATGCCTACATTCTGCGTGCTGCAGGAGGCTCTGGCATCCAGTAGCTGCTGTACCTGATGAGTGCCAGCTGGAGCGAAATGCCCAGGGCCAAACCCATCCAGGGCTGATGTATTCCCATCCAAAATGAACGTGGCTCCTTCAGTCTGTAAGTCAAACAGAGTGGTTGAGGCTCTGTTTGCCCCTGCGTGCTTAATACACGTTATGAAGTTTTCAGGCATCCTCAGATTTTTCGACAGAGTGCTGTATCTATCAGTCTTAAATGCGAGGAAAATCCAAACGCCGTAGAGATGCGCGGCCACCCAGCCATGCCCTGGGCTGAGCTCCCTGCAGCGAGGACGGCAGCCGGCTCTCACCCCTCTGCTCCCGGCTGCCGAGGTGCCCAGCAGAGCAAGGAGAGTGCGAGGGCCAGTGCTGTAGGGCCTCGGGAGCCACACAGCGCAGGGGGATGGTTAATGGGCACAAAAGCAGCTTAGGTTCCTAAGTCCCTGATTTAAATGAGATTTAGGTGTCAAACCTTCCCGGATGCATTTGAAAATCCCACTCAACACCTCTCTGAACACCGAGGCAAGTAAAGACCACTGAAAATTTGGCCCTTAAACACGGCTACAGCTGGTGTGTCTGGAATTAAAAGTTTAAAAAGAAGTTCTGGCTCATGACTAAATGGAAGAGACATCTGGGAATAGCAAATATTGAAGATGTTACAAAGAATCAGAATGAGAATTGAATTCAAGGCTGATATTTCCACGAGTAACTTTTTTTGGTCAACAGATGCGATTTCTGATCTCTCATGTTAGTAATGAACTGGTTGCTGATAACGTAGGAGGGCTCATATTTTCCTGATGATGACTCTGGGACTCTATGGGGGTCCTCCCTGCTGTCCCAGGGGGGCAGCCTGGGTTGATGCCCTGCCCTGCGTCATGGCATGCAGTGGTAGCAGTGGGCTTGGAGGGCCACGGAAACACTTCTCGGGGGGCTGTTTAGGAAGGACAGCCTGTAACACAATTATTTTAGCAAATATGAAAAGCCAATGTTTTTGTTAAATTACCTGTAGGGCCAAAGCTCAGAGCTGAGTTTTCCAATTCTGATTGAATATTCACAGCATGACAGAGGTGATGAACACACGGGAACCGGTGATGGAGGAATTCGCGCTCAGCCAGACTCCTGAGGAAGAAGGAGGCCCTTCAAGCCAGGTAACTTTAGCAAAACTGGAAAAGTATCCAGAGTTTCTTTTCAGAAGCAATGTAATGCAACCAATAACTTCAATCCACACCTGGCCCTTGCGGGGATGCAGGCAAAGAGCGTGTTTGTCCCCAAGAGTTCAGACCTGAGCAACTATCGCGTGATGAAGGCATCCAGCCAGTCCCATACCACAGCTTTTACACAGCCACCCTTGTAACGAGCAAAGTTTCCTCAGGCTCAGAGGGAGCTCCCTTTTTAGAAAAGAGACCATTTGAAATGATGGTTTAATCCACATAAATGGAGCAGCAGCACTGGTCAGGGCCATTTGCTGGCAGGTGAAAGAGCTTTTGCTGTCCCTGGGTGGTCTCAGACACCCACTCGCGCACCCGCCTGCGGAGCCAGTTCCAGCAGGAGGGATCACGATGTCCTGAGCTCCCCTTGTGACAATCCCCACGCCCCGGTTTGTGCTCTGTGGTTGTGCTCGTGACTCGCAGTGTCACTGCTGGGGACAAACCACCTAAACACGTCCTAGTGGACCTGAGTCGCTTCTCAGTACAAGGTATGTTATTGCAAACTACTCAGAAAACTACTCTAGGAACAGCATATTGCAGGTAAAAATCAAGCATTTGGAAGCCAGGGAAGTCAGAACTGAAATTTTTCAAATTCCTTTCAGATCATTTATGTGTATAATGAAAGGCTGTGTGCAATTAAAGAGCATGCCATAAGCTTTCCCATGCCTCGTCGGCCGTCCAGGATAGATGCTGCTTACTTGAAGAGCACTTTTTCAATATTCTCTTTCCTCTTCCACAGAGTCCTGGGTTTTCATTATTGTGTCAGTGTACACTGTCCAAACTCAATGCCAGCTTCGACTCCTCCTACATATTTAGGCCTGTTCTATGGTGTCCCTGATCATATGCCCCAGAGGTTTTCCCCCAGCTCCTTCACCTCACCCTTCTGGGAGAAGGTGATACCATCCACATTTTAGTGATGGCCAACTGAGGCAAAAAAGTGAAAAGAAACGAGAGGCAGCACAAAGTCAGTGACTCAGCGGGAAAACTAGGTTTCTTCCAGCAACTTGCAAGTGCTCTGGCCAGGAGACTGCTCCTTCTCTTCCTGCAGTCTCCTGCCCACTCGTCACACACTCCGGCTTCCGCAGAAAAACGCAGCGAGGCCCGACAGGCATCTCTGCTTCCTACCGGTCCTGACTCATTCCTGGAGGGATGTGGTAAATACTGGGCTCCGGTGGAAGAAAAACATTATGTGGTTGGTGTGAGAAAAGAGAGTATGAGAATGACACAAACAAAAATAGCCAAGCTGAGGCCGCACAGATGCCTTTCCTTAATTTTGTTGCAGCCTCAATAATCAGCTTTTTGCACATTTTTAGATCAGTGTGTGTCACTTCCAATGGCTTCAGAAAGCAAATGAAAAAAACAGAAATTTTGTTGTATTGGATCCCCCATCCAGGGGTTGCTGGTGGGCCTGGGGACGGGGTAGCTGTCCCACAGCCCCCAGCTGAGCAGCGGCCAGGGAAGAGGTCGCTGTCACCTGTGTGTGCGTCCCTGGAGGGAAATAAGGCAATTTGCCCACAATTTTGTGGCTGTTTTCTGCCAGCTGAGCTGTGAGGCTCAGGGAGCTGGGCTCCACCATGGATCTGAAGAAGAGTGCACTGCTGCTCAGGGGTGTCTCTTGACCTGTCCTGGCCAAGGAGATTTTACCTTGTCTCATATTTGGAATTAGCAGGATTGTGTTAGCACCTTCTTAAAAATTTGTTCCAGTCAAGACAGCTGCCATGGAAGTGTCTTTCCAAATTATAAACAGCTCAGGAGGAGGCCGTGTAATGGGAAGTTGGGGGGATCTTTTCTGGTAGGCAGCACGAGCAGTGTTGCTTGATCAGGATGAGTTACACCCATGTGGGTGCAGCTCAGGGAGGCATTAGAAAGGTTTACGTTCAGTAATTCACTTGGTCTAGATGCACTGAAGGTGCTTTCTCACAAAAAAAAACATTCTTAATTGTGTCTCGCTTTGCCACACTAGCAATAGTGTACAACATTTTTCAGCTTCATGTAGATTTGCAAAAAGTAATGAATCTCTGCAACACTACCATGGGGAGCGAGGGCGTGAGGATGCGAATTATTGCCCTGCCTCGTCTCCAGAAGTCAGATACAGGCATCGCAGCAATGATAAAAATGTGCTTGCTGCTTCCCAGACACACAGGAAGAGAACTGCCTTTCCCAGGGGCTTGCCTCCCCATGCCGGCTCTGATGACAAGCGGGACAGCTAAACCCTAAGCTCTTAGAGAGGGCAGCTCGTGGGAGGAAGGGAGGTTGCAAAAGCCACGGAGCAAACACCTCCGGTGGGTTATGACACCCCCAGGTCTCTAGCAGTGTCCTGGAGGATGTGCTCACTTCTGTGGTGGTTAGGGAATATCTGCGTGTCTCTGCAGGAGCTGTGCTGAGACTGGCTGACATAGCCAGCAGCGCTCAGTCTAACCAAGACCCCGACGCAGTGGTGAACGCACTGCAGACGTGCATGGAGGCTCCCACCAGCACACAGCAAACCTGTGGCAGCGCCTGGAGTTAAACTGGGATGGTGCTTGCTCTAAACCCCTAGTTCAGTCCCCTAGTCTGCACCTTGATTTTATTGTTACAAATAAAATAAAACTCAGCTAGCACAGAGAAATTTATGGCCCGTTAGTGCAGGTATAGGAACGTTTGAGAAGCCAGGAGATAAGGTTTCAGCAAAGCAGCAACAGAGCTTGTCTGAACGTTAACATCCTGGGGGAGCTGGAATGATTTTTACTCAACCTCCTCCCAAAAAAAACCCAATCTAAAACAAAGTACCCTGAGCGATTTAAATGAACCAGCTATGATGAAGACAAGAAAGCACAGTTGTGTGTTACAATATCCTTCACTAAAAAGATGTAGTTCAGCTTCAAGCGCTAATCGCTGCATAGTGTTTGACCTGCAGCTTCAATGTGACAGATGAAAATAATACCTGGCACTGTCCTCAGTGTAAAGACGATCTCTGGGGCTACCTGTTTTGCATGAATGCAGCATGAAATACAGTGTTTCACAGTATGGAAAACAGCTCTGCAGAATGGTGGCTTCTTAATAAACTGTCACTGCATGAAAACGTGAATATCATATCAGAGTAAACGGAGAGCAGCTAGAAGGGCTGCAGCAGCCCTTTAGCTTAGCGTTACAGCAATGACCTTTGTGTCCTAAAACTCACCAGAACTGAAACCCCAGTGTTTGGCAACATAATGGATTTTGTTGCCTGAGTCTCCGTTCTTACTCTGCACATCGAATACCCAAGTCAGGGCAATCGTCTGCCTGACACACTGGTGAGAAGAGCCAGTTATCCAGCGAGAGACAGCATGTGCAGAGGAGAGTGTGCTGGGATCTGTTAGTCCCTCTGCGTCCACGCTTGGGCGGTGAGGAGCTGGATTCAGCTGCTTTTGAGATCCTCCCTGTGCAGGACTGTTCCCCTGCACCAGTTTGAAGGGTTTGTTTTGGTGGACATGGGAGTGCATGTCAGATGTAGAAAGGATGCTAAGGTGGAGCGTATACTGTGCTTGCTGTGGCTATGCATCCCTGGGCCGGGCTTTGACAGGCATGTCCCCATGTGTGTCACCAGGCCTTCCCAGACTCACGTGAGAAGTACCCCAAGCTGTCCAAAAGACTGCCGTCGATCGTGGTGGAGCCAACTGAGTCTGGGGATGTAGAGAGCGGCGAGCTGCGCTGGCCTCCTGATGACCTGAAATCAGCAGAAGACAAAGGTCTTCATGGTGACCAAAGAGTCTGTGTCCAGCAGCAGCAGCAGCAGATGGATCTGGAAGGTCTGAACTGAGTAATTTTCATCCTTGTGCCCCACAGGAATATAGCCGTTTCAGGCCACGCTGCGCACTGAAGTTAATAGCGTACCTAAGAGCGGTAGGTGCTTGAAGGTGCCCAGAAACACCTGCACTGGAAAGGGAGTCCTGTGGACTGAAAATTTCCTTGTAACTTTTGAGCATGTGGTGCTTTCATCCGCATCAGGCTCAGTGCTGGCCACTGGCATGGCCAGCAGGCAGGTTACGGCACGTTAGCAATTCCCTGTACGAAACAGGAATCCTATTCAACAGCATTTATCTGCCTCCCTGTCTCCTAACCTAGAAGCAAAGTGTTTAACAGCTGCACATTTTCAAAGCATCACAGTGTCCCAGGAGTGCAGTAAAGTAGCAGGAGCTCACAAATATGTAGATATGACTAGTAGTGTCACTGTGGGGTAAATGTGGCTAAAGATAAGAGCTCATTGGAGTGCAGATTGCACAGTGAATGCTCCAGTGTGGAAATGGCCTATTTATTTATGTGTTTTTTTCATCTCAGTGCTCTCCTTTTGCCTGAAGGAGTAACACGGTTTCCATTTCAGTGCACCAACATTTGCCACCCAAACACCCGGAGACAGCAGCCAGGAAGGGGTGCAAGATGCAACTTCCTTTACATTCAAAGGGTGATGCAAATGATCTGATCTTGAAGTGTCAGGTCGCCTGCTGTTCTAGTTGGCGATTCTGGGTGGTGGCAGCCATAGGGTTTGATCATTCAAGAAGCAATTTGAGCCAAATCTATGGCCTGACCTCCCGGTTGCACGTTTTGGCCTCTGTTTTGTTTTTGTGCACTGGCGTTAGGACTTGTTACGTCTTCAGGACTGAGACTTTGAGCAGATTTCACTAAGGCAGCAGATAGCCCTCACACTACAGTGGCTGTCCTGCTTTTAATGAGAGGGATCATCACCTCATCTCACTAATAACCGCCCTGAGGTCTGAAGTCGCCTGTAAAGTCAGGCTGTGATGCACTTGGAGTACCCTACTCCAGGTTTAACTACTGGTTTGCAAGTAGAGCAAATTGCTCGTGTCAAATCTGAGCACCTGCCTGGTGGAGCAGGGAATCAAATGAAGGCAGCTGTACCTCCATGGGGAAATAAATCCTGACGAACCATTTCTTTGCAGATACTTTAGCGCACCCAACTGAAGAAGTGGAAGGCAGTACAGATACTCTGGAAAGCAGAACTGAAGAGGATGAGTAGGGACTCCCGGCCTCAGATGTGAAACTTCATTGTGAATGTTGTTGGGAAGCTAACACACTCTGAAGACATGTCAAAGTAATCTGTATTTAAATCTGCAAGGGTTTTATTTAGTTAGTACCTGGTAAGAAGCGTCTGGGCTTTAGAACTGTTCTTTTCAACATTTTGATTTTCAGGCTGGGATTCATATTATTTATTTTTTCCTTGGGAAACGATGGGACGTGTTAGGAAATACGAGATTAGCAAGGAAAAAATGCTCCTAATTTCAATTAGCACATTTCATCATCGGATTTACCTTTTTCAAGCAAGGCTGCTTTCAGATATCAACAGCAGGACAAAGGGGTTACGTTTCTGCAGGAGGGATGTCTTAAATCTAAAACCTTTCTTGTTTTTAGCCATTTAAAATTAGCACTGTGATATTATGGACAATAGATGTAATATAATGTCACCATTTGATTTTGTAACTTTTGTATAGAGATGCAAGTGTAAGATTTGCCTCCGGGCTGCCGCCCTGGGGCGGCCCAGAGCTGTTCCCTCCCTTTGGCTAACCCGTGCAAATTGGGATGAACCAGCCTTTTCTTAAGCCGCCTTTTCAGCAAGGCTCGCGCCTTTCGGAAACAACGCTTTCTCGCCGTACGTTGTCGAAGCGGATTAGCTAGTCGCTGGTGTTTGTGGAGTCAGGCTGTCTGTTGCAGGCTTGGTGGGGTGGGCAGCGCTGCTCGTGCATCTTTGGGCCCAGGTCCAGCCATGGCACGGTGCGCACTCCTCTCCCTTGAAGCCGACGAGATGGCTTCTGCTTCTGCCAGGGCTGGATTTGTCCCACCTTGTTAATAGGAGTTGTTGTGACAGTTCTTCTTTTGCTATGTTTTGTGTGTAATGTAAGTGCGGGGGCCCAGCTGCTCCTCCCTTGACTGGAGCTGGGGGGTGGGTGGGGGTGGATGACTGGAGCTCCATGGCTCCACGGCCCAGGCCAAACCCTCCCCCCATTGGAGGGCCAAGGCGGGTGTGCGTCCATGGGACGCTGCTGGTGGGAGCGCAGGTGCCGGGGCTCTCACCTGTGGCACAGCCCCCTCAGCTTTGGTTGCATGGCCACCTCCTGGGAACCAGAGCTCACGGTGGAACAAGCTGTCTCTGGGCACCTCAGGCCTCCAGTGGATTTTCCTTGAGGATTTGGGGGCCATTTTGACAGGGGTGAACCCGTTCCTGCATGGGGACCTCCCAAAGACTCCCTCCCCCCGTCTGGGAGAAGTACCGATCTCAGCCCAGAACACTACCCTTTGGACAGTGTTGGTGGAGATAGATAATGCATGTGCTAAAAAGGGTTTGACTGTGTCAGTGACAAGTGTCCCAGAAGCTACGAAGTTGGCTTTCTCCATCTCTGCAGGGCTGGATGGGGTCTGTACTTCCAATTAATGTTGCAGCCGGAAGAAGCCGCTCGCTGTAGGTGGAAGAAAACAACGGGATTTCTTCCAGCGTTAACTCCTAAGTTGACTTCCAAGTGCATTCTTTTCTCCAGTAATAATTTTCTCTAACAGCAACTTTTAATTGTGTGATGGTGGATAAAATTTACTGGCCAGATGTATTAATAAGATAAGTTTATACCTTCTTAGCAACCAAATTTAATATATTTACTTACAAAGAGTTCTGTGCAATGAATGTTTAATACAAAGGAGAGAGACTATTTTACTTCAAAGCAACATTAATTTATGTACAAAACTGTAGCTCATTATTTGGGGTGTTTGGGATCTAGGACCCTTTTTATAAGCAGTGTAGTATAGTACAATGTGATACTTAAGTTAAACTTTGCTGTCTCAACCTATATAACAATCTGTTTTGCCTTCTTGATGTAGACTTTCTTACCTAAGCTGTCACAGAATTATTTTGTTGGATGAGTGGGATTCTGGTCAGAGCACCGAATTTCACCAGAGAAACAGAAGGTTTCAGGAGCACCTCCTAAATCTGGCTGCCGTACCCGTCACCCCCCTTACTGATGACAGTTTTCTGGTGAAGGCAACGAAGCGAGAACCAGCTCCAGCTACGTGTCTGGGTAGCACATGAGCAGCGAGAGGAGGTCCCCGGCTTGGGCGCATCTGCACCTCGTCATGGCAGGAGGAAAGCCACGCTGGTGAGGCGGCCAGGCGGGTGCGAGGTGCTCTTTAAATGCTGCTTTTGCATCGACCATCAAGAAGTTTTACAAAGCTCTGGAGGAAAAACAACCACGGTGACGACATATTTTTAGCTGTGTGTTAATTTCCTTTCAAGCTGCGTCTGCCCAGCTCCCTGAGGAATGATGTTAGACCTATCACTTAATTTGCTTTTCGCTTTATAAAAGGAAAAAAAGTCATTTGAAACACTTCCCCCAATTTTATGCGCTCTCTATCTGCTTTCAGACGCTCCCTCCCTTCCTGCTCTGGATGGCCCTTATCCTATTTCCACCTGAGGTCAATGGCACTTCCCTAAATAAGTTTCCCAAAGAAACAACAAAATGCTACATACAGCCTGAAACAACGCCACGCAGCAGTACTTTTTTTCATCCTAGTACCTAAAGCCACAGCCCATAGAGAAATGCCGGATTTCCTCCTTCCAGCCTCGTTACTCCTCTCTTTCCTTTTCCCTCTTTTGCGCTGCTCCCTTGAAGTGTTTTACCTGAAGCAAATGGATGCTTCAAACTAAAGCTTTCTCCTAAAGCCGCGTGGCCTCAGTTTAACAACCACGCAAAGCCAAACTCCTCCTCCCATTTTTATTTTTCTGAACATGGGCCAGAGGCCCTAAAATAGGAGAGCAAGATAGAGAGAAAATTGTTTTATACAAACAAGCCCTATTTATTCAACTTGCAGGTCTATGAATGTCCACTTACTTTGTCTGTGTGCAAGTGTTGTCTCTCTAATAAACTCAGTAGTTGTTTTGTATTTTTTCTGGATTAAAAGCTTTGTAGAAACTGAAAAGGAAAAAAAAAGACATTCAGTCATATTTTTCTAGTCTAGCTTGTAGAATATTTCATGTAGTGCAGAAAGGAAGTTTTATGGAGTAAGACATTGTTGGATTTTGCTCTATTTCAGTTCTTTCTAATTTTGTAAAATGCCACCTGTACATAATACTCGACTGATGTATGTCCTGTAGATGTATTACACCATTTAGCCTATTAAATGCCTATACTGGACCAATTGGAAGAAGTGGTGTACCCACAGTGTCTTGGTTTAAAAATGGAAAGAGTTCTTTGTGGTGGTGTGCAGCTCCTGTCCTACCACTGGTATGGCGAATAAAGGGGACGAAGCCCGCTCTAAGCCTGCCTTTGCCCTGGGGCATGCAAATACTCGCGGGCACTGGCCCTCCATCCCACATGGTGCTACACAGATAGATTCAGATTTATGTCAGTGGCCATTGCCATCTCAGTTCTTTCCTTTCAGCCCTTCCTAGACCAGGCAGCTCAATGCTCACTGCTTCTGCCTTGGGATTTTCTTGCTGCCCTGCTTGGTGCGGTCCCTTCACCCTGGGTGGTACCCTGCCTTGTGGGCAGCCCTAGCAGCGGGCAGGCTGGCCCCTCCTTGTTCACCTGTTAACGAAATGCACATTTTTAACATTTTCTGGAAAGGCTGTTGTGGAGCCCAGTAGGAACTCATATCGCTAGAAACCTATCCTCGTTGCAAGGAGAGCAGGGTCATGTGGCAGAGAAGATGAGAGGCAGAGATAGTCTGCCACTGAACAACCTATTTTTTTTATTTCCCCAAAACGTCAAGTTACCAAAAAGCAAAGGATCGGATAACTGGAGGGTGAGACTCCCTCTTACT